GAGCGAAGTGCTCTAATAGGGTGATATGGTACTACAAGGTCATTAAGATAAGATGGGGCCTGATTATTTAAGACCTTGTAAGTGAGGAGCAGGATTTTGAATTCTGGATTTAATAATGAGCAGTGAAGCTCTGGCTGCTCTAAACTTTTGTCAGATTTTGTACTTTCACAGATGTAGAAGAGCAGCCAGAGGTTAAACAACTGTGAGGAACAGCCAATCAGAAGAAACGTTTCTTAAAGGGGGATGAGCTAAAACAGCTTGTTTCAGACAGAAGCTGAACCGACGTCCACTGTCAGATTAAGAAGGATTATTCTGAACTGTGAAGCGTGCAAAGCTGACCTGTCCCGTTATAAATACTCACCTCGGCCATCAGTGAGACTGCGTGAGCAGTAACAGCTGCCTGACATCTTACTGGAGACACTTTAACACATCACAGACACTCTGACACCTTTTTAGTGTATTCAAGTGTATATATGCAAATGAGGTGTGAAGTCATTAAATAAACACAGATGAATGTGAACAGACCTCCTTCATCCAGCATTATACAAACAGCTGTTAGATCAAAGGAGTCAAACCGAGCTTTGATGCAGACCAGAGCAGCACACCTGGTCCAGCTCAAACCTTTGTTTCAGTGGGGAGGAGCTCTGCGACTCACAGGAAGGAAAATTTAATAAATGAAAACTTTTCTTTCCTTTCACTCAGTTTTTTATTGCAGTGTAAACTGAGGGCACTGCAGTGAGTTTTCAGGGTGTTACTCTTTCACCCTGTGAACCTAATATTGAAAATATCAACACCAAGACCAGAAAAGAGCTCTAAGAAGCTCCGCCCACACGCTCTCCGTCAGTTACAGGTCAGGCACTGATGATGATGATGATACCAAAACTGCTCAGCACGTGCATATCAGAAAGTTTGTGCTCAGTCATCCCTCAGGTTAGTGAGTGCTGAGGTTCCTGCTGATGTCACAGGCGTTGGTGACTCGCCGCCGTCCTGCGCTGCCTCAGTCAACTGACAGTCGAACTGCTGCGTGAAGGCATGCAGCAGGTGAGGGACGACCTCCTCCACGCTAGCGTGTCTCCGCAGCTCGGCGCTCAGCGACGTCACGCCTTTCCCTTCAATCCCACACGGAACGATGTGGTCGAACCACGACAGGTCAGTGCAGCAGTTCAGCGCCAGACCGTGAGACGTGATGTAGCGGCCACAGTGTATTCCTGAAAACACGACAGCCGTCATTCAGGCAATTCTTACACAGGACGTGCTGAAGAGCAAGCAGCTGCGCTGGAGTCCTGCGATGAAATGAAACACGCACTGACGTAAACGTCCTTATATAAGATTAAACATGTTGCCAACCTCACACCTGACCAGCAGATATGAAGAGCATGTTTCCCAGCGCACTGTTATACCACACCTGAGTCCAGCCAGTAAAACTTCTGTCTATGCGAGCGGCCTTTAGGTCACATGACCTCAGACCTCCCGCTCGCTGACAGCCTTTAACAGGTGAACAGCACCTGCAGAGATTGGTGGTCGGCCATCTGCTGCGACCCCTAACGGTCAGCAGATGGCGCTTTGTAAATAAAATTGAATTGAACTGAAAATTTTTAAACTGAGGATTTTTCACGGTGGTGGTTTCATTCTTGTCTCCATCTTTTTCCCGTCACATGTGTGGTCCGCTCTCCAAATGACACAATAACGTAAGAGAAAGGACTATGACTCAGTGCGTCTGGACATTTGTGTGCCAATGAAAAGAAGGCAGTGTGACTTTGTCCATCGTCACCTAAAGACGAGGAAGTAAGAAAACAGAATCAGTGCTTTTGAATAGTGGTGTCAGACAGAAGGACGTGCGACTCGCTTATTTCAGACACATCACGTCTCTTCTGTTCTCACATCAGCATGTGAAGAACAGAAGGAAACTGGCAGCGTTGGTTTGACACCATTATGACAACAACAGGAAGAGGCCAAGGATCAATCTTCCTACAGAATGATTATCCACCATTCTGTAACTGGGGCTTAAAATGAGTTTTTACTGGACTTTATGGTTTCAGCTGTGACAGTCCTGGTTCTGGCCCAGCTGAGATCAAACTGGACCCTGATCGAAAGCGTCTGTGTGACTGTAGATCTATACCTCGCAGTATAAATAAAGCATCCTGAGGTGACTGCTGCTAATGCCAATAAACCTGGTGAACTCCACCTGTAGCCTGGATTAATCAGCTGCTCATGTCTGATTATTGGTAATTATTGGTTTTAAAAAGCAGCCACACAGTCAGTGAACACATGGTAGGTGATTGAGGCTCAGAGCAACGCAGTCGTACCGATGGCGCAGATCTTATTGTCTCCGACCCAAACTCCCGTGTGAGGGGACGTCGTAGCTCGGATGCCGAACCTGCCGCAGAGTGCGATGACGGTCTGCTCCAGCTGATCGACGTACCACCGCACGCTCTGAGAGAACAGAGAAAACATTAAAATACGTTCGGCTCTGATAAAAAACACACCAATCTCACTCCCACGTCAGCTCAGACCTTCTTGAAGCTGCACAGGTTCAAGACTGGGTAGCAGACCAGTTGTCCCGGCCCATGGAAGGTGATGAGCCCTCCCCGGTTTGCCCGGGCCACATCGGCCCCCAGCAGGCGCAGTTGGTCCAGCAGGGGCTCGGGGTAGGGTTTGTGGCGGATCCCGGTGGTGTAGACCGGCGGGTGCTCACACAGCAGCAGAGCGTGAGCAGGGCAGGACCGGTGCCGGTTCACGTAGACCTGCTGCAGTCGCAGAGCCTCCTGATAGGAGACCAGGCCCAGGCGGACCACCTCCACCAGCGGCTGGCCGCCCCGCATCTGGGACTGACACCAGACCAATCCAGACTGTTAGTTGCACAAATGTTTAGTTTTGTTACTTGTAACCTGTTTAAAATGTATCCAGCCTTAAAGGCTGCATGACTAGGGGCGTGGCCTATTTGATTGACAGGTGGATGGTGACGCAGGTGTCTGCTGTGACTTATACAGGGGATGGGTTCCGTCAGGAGCAAAGATCCTCCATCTGGTTATCTGAAACCAGCAGCACATTAGCTTTAGTGTCACAGCACATGTACATGCATGCTCATGTTCCCAGGACCTGAACCGAGAGTTCACAAGCTGCCCTAGAATATCGCAGTTTTTAGATTTCCTTAGTTCAGCAGAGATCCTGGGACATTTCTCCGAACATAATCCAAACGATACAAACCTGAGCTACTCACAGACAAATCGGCTGCTTCAATTCACACATTATAAACTGACAAAGCAGAAAACTAAAACTAAAATCGAGGTGGAGCTTCTGCTCGCGGGCACTGAGCGCTCTGACCTCAGTGACACGGTCAAAGCAAACCGCAGTACATCTCTGAATGGGAAGCAAATCCCTCCGCCGTGTCTCTACGTGGTTATTTCGTTAGTTTATTAATTTATCAAAATACTTTATCAAAACCATCACCTGTCTAACTTCTGTACGCTCCTCTACCACGACCCACTCTTCTTCTACAGCTGTGAGACTGATGACGTCTTCCGGTTTGTACAGCGCCGTCGTGCCGCGAGTCATTAACCGGAACCTAAAGTCTTTCATAATAAAACTGAATTATTATCGACTTATTTTTTAATCTCGCAGTTTTGTCAAATTAATAAATATCATTTCTTGAGTTGAAGAATTAGATTCATATTAAGGCAACAAAATCTAAATTGCCAAAGATATGCTCTCTATCATGAGAAAATAAATTCACAACAGGTAAATTACAATATGTTGGCCGTCTTGTTTTTAATTTTATTACTTCTCATCCCTCCGTCTTTATTTTGCCAATGTTTACTTTCTAAGTAGCGATTTCTTTGTCTTGCAATTTATGTTTATTGAAAATAATGCTGTTTAACCACACACTAACAATCACAAACTCAGCCCCAACAGAAAGAGACATATTTAGCAGCTTTGATTTTCAAAGCACAATTTGCTACATATTTTACATGTTTTTTTTTACAGACTACCATCAAGTTATTTTTTATTTTCTAAATTTGGAAATGCACAATAAAATGCAACGACTTAGTTTTATTTTGAAGTCGACACCTGACGTCAGAGGAGGCTCGCGCCGCTGTGATTCAGCGGCTCCGGTTGGCGGGCTGCACGCGCGTCCACTCTGCTGCGCTCGCGCTGTTTCGGCGGCGGCAGGGCGGGGTTTGTTTTGAGAGCGGACCGGAGAGAGAAGACTCACCAGGGAAGATGGCGACCGCAGGGTCTGCCGAACGGCCTGGGAGACCGGCCAGCGCCACGGCCGCCGGCACGTCCCGGGCCGGGCTCGCAGCTCGGTGCCGGTCCGGGTCCAGCCCACCCGAGTACGAATCCAAGAAGTGCATGGCGTGCGCGGAGACCGGTGGCAGCCCGGCCGGCAGACACCTGGCCTGTCCGCTCTGCCTAGCCCGCAGACACTCCGGCAGCGAGGAGCGGCTCCGCGGGAGGAGCGACCACGAGAGTAGCAGCAGTAGGCCGGGCGGGAGGGACTGCGACAGCCGGAGAGGTCGGTGAGCTTCTCGGGGAATCGCCCGTGCAGATTTCGCTGTATCACACCGCTGCAGGGTGTTTGTTTAACGGCAGAAAACAGCGGGAATTTAAATTAAATCAACTTTAATAAAGTTTAACGTGAGCAGCGGGCGGTGTTAAGAATGTTAAAGGTTAGTTTTATGTGAAAAACATCTATGAAGTGTGATAGCTGCAGGCGTAAAAATCCCCGCTTTTCTTTATGGAGTTTTGTATGGAGCTACAGGATCAATCACAGGTCAACGTGTGGACAGAGGACACGTGACTGCTCACAGTGACCTCACCTGATCACAGGTATAGGCAGCAGGGTCACATGTCATGTGGCACTGCTCAGGTCTGCAGATGGGGAATGTGTCCAGACATGTACAGCTGGAGGAGGAGTTGAGTTACTGCAGTACTAGTAGTACTGGAGGTATTACTGCATGGACTCTGTTAGCAGTGACTGGCTGGAAAAGCCCAAGGGCGTTATTACTAGTACTTAGAGCAGGACACAGCAGGAGAACCATAAATACTGTAAGTACTCTTTGACTTGCTCTGACCACTGTGAACAGCAGTTCTTACATAAGAAAGCTCGGGTGAGACTCGCTGGCTTCATGTGTGTTGGATGAAGTCAGAAGGTGCTGATGGTGATCATCACCTCTCATGGTTAATGTTTTATTCATTGACCCGATACTGACGCCTTTAGCATTTTTCCTTTTAGGCTCTATCTGATCTGTGTGATTCACAGTTCACAATCATCCCTGTTTGTCTGATGCTGGGCTTCTGTCGTGTCTCTCTGACATCACAGAGAGCCAAGAGCAGAGCAAACTGTGCCCGAGCTGTGAGCTCACAGGTTTACTGCACGTGCACTGAGCTCGTTATTACACAGTTTTAAGACAGGAAGTGAACAGTAGAATTTTAGTAGTCAAAGTCACCTGTTTAAATTGTGTTAAGCCTTTAAATTATTAGGGGCGTGGCTTCTTTGACTGTTTTCTCTTTGGCTGTGTTCCTTTAGAGTTCTTCGTCTCTCCGGTGCTCATCCCGAAGTCTGCCGACGCTCCTTCGGGCCCGAGCGGGAAACACAAGGTGAGTCAGAGAGCTGCAGGTAAACCTGTGATCACCTGTGGGTGGTTAAGCTTGTCACAGCCGAGTGTTTTATTGCTGAGGAAGAAAAGCAGAGCTCTGCAGGCTGCCGATATCAAACTGGGAGAACTTTGGCTTTAATTTGAGCTCATTAAGTTTTCTCTCAAAGTTTTCACTGTGAGTCTCGATATACCGTCGCAGATGCTGCGTCGTCTCGCGGAGACGGGAGAATCTTTGTGTTTTAACCCTCGAAATAAACTTTAACCGTGTTTCAGATGCTGCTGTGTGACGACAGAGAGGAGGTGAAGAGGAGGAGCTCTCTGAACTGTAAAGACGAGGCAGTCCGTCGTGATGAAGATCCGGTGAGTGATGACAGGCTGAATGTTTTCATCCTGCAGCAGCTTCTTAAATAGCCGTTGTCCCTCCTCAGGGCGTCCTCTCTGACTCCGAGAACGAGGAGCCGATCAGCAGGAGGATCCGAAACATCTCAGCCTTCATCAGGAAAACCAAAAACTCATCCGCTGGGTGAGAACAACCACCCTGTCCTATTCCTTTTACAGACAGTGAACGTACCACAGACTACAGGGGTGTGACCTCTGACCTCTGCGTTTATTCTTTAGGAGTTGTCAGAGGAGCAGGAGCTGCACTGATCCTGTGGAGGATGGAGGAGGAAAGATGAAAGTTGTCACCCAGCCGGCAGCCGTGATGGAGCGGGTACGTGAGACAGTCATGTGATCGAGACTCCCGTCTGTGGGAACCTTAGAAGAAATAGTGTTTTATCAGGCTGTGTTAGAGAGTGTAATCAGATTACTGTATGCTTCAGGAGCCATGCAGGTTCAGATTGCGGGGAGAAGGATCGTTAAGCCCCTCTCCCATTAGAACCTGCTCGGGTCGGCACCATTAGCCAGTTTTCAGGGTTACCTGTAGGTCGTAGTACCTGGTCGGGGTCCAAGCGATCCGAGCAGGTAATAAAATGCGACTTCATCAGACCACATGATTGGCTGGTCAGTAACGTCACTGGATGAGTCGTGAGAGCTTCTCGTTCACTAAAATCAAAACCGCCATTTTTGAAACGCTACATCAAAACAACGCTGCGTTCCCCGGACGAAAAGCCACAGAGTGAGCTGCAGGCATGTATCTGCTGCGACGTCCACCTTCGTCTTAGTGTCACATATCAATAGACTCTGTGCACCTTAGCATGTGCTACTTCCTGTAGGGCGCCTCGTTTCCGGTGTGATATTCACGTCTTGTTTACGGTCAGGTTTTCCAAAACAAGTCAACCAAATGGACGAATCAAGCGGCGATTTACATTTCTCAAGATGTCGTATTACTGAATATATCTGTAGATGATGTTCGTCGACGTGTCGATATTTTCCCCACGCCTCAAAGAGAGAAAGGATTCAAATGTTTTATTTCTCAGTGTTTGTATACAGCGCCCCCTCGTTTATCGCCGGCGTTGTTCTAAAAATAACCAGCAATCGGTGAAGCCCGTGAAGTAGCCAACTTTATTTTTTACAATTATTTGAGATGTTTTGAGCCCCTCACTACACTGTTTACACACTTTTCTCAGACAGGCATGAAGTTCAAACCTTGGTAGAAAAATAATTCCAGTATTATAGGATGAAACCAAAGATCAAACACCTGCGTTAAACACCTGCGTTAAACACCTGCGTTAAACACCTGCGTTAAACACCTGTGTGGTCGCTGACTTGTGTTCTTGTGCCCTCCGCCAGGTTGGCATCAGCCACAGCTATGCGGCAGGAATCCTCCTCTCCTCTGAGAACAGCCGCTCTATCTCCGCCCCCATCACCGCTCCCGATCGGAGGCTCACCTGGCGAGCTGTGCTGACATCATCTTCCTCGGCTCTCCTGTGCATGCCTCCTCCCCGCCCGGAGCGCTCCATCAGCCCCGAGAGCAACGACAGCATCTCCGAGGAGCTCAACCACTTCAAGCCCATCGTCTGCTCGCCATGCACGCCACCCAAGCGCCTCCCGGACGGCCGCCTGATGGAGCCCACCATCGTGAAGTCCACGCCCCGGAACCTGACTCGCGGTCTGCAGAAGGCCACCAGCTACGAGGCCAGCCCTGCCGTCCTGCAGAAGTGGAGGCAGATCGAGCTGGACCGCCAGAGCCTCAAGGTGAACTCCAAGGCCACGCTGACGAGCCCCGTCTCCGAGGTAAACCACAACAAGCTCGGCGAGGGCGCAAAGACGCGCCAGTCCCCGGCAGGAGACGCAGTGACGTCAGCAAACAAGAGGAGGCTGCTGTTCGACTCTCCAGCCGGCGACACGGACAACTTCCAGAAGCAGTCGGTGAAGATCCGCGTCCCCGCGATCCGCTACAGCAGCGAGTCGACCTTCAAGGGAGGCTTTGAGCCGCCGGCCGGCACTCCCGAGTCCTGCAGCACGGGGGCGCTGTTCAGTCGGAAACAGTCGTTCTCGCCCTACACCAAGAACTCTGGGGTGCAGTCCTGTAAGTTAGTGCCAAAGGACTCTCAGAGTCCCAGGAAGGAGTCCGACAGTAGCATCCACAACCAGACTACCTCACGGAGGGGCAAGAAGAGGAAGCAGAAGACCAAACACCTGGACTCGAGCCGCGACTTGGATCTGAAGAGGGGCCGGCCCGTCAACCAGGAAGCGCTGGACGAACGGTACATCTGCCAGATTCAGCAGGAGCGGCAGGATCGAGCGCTCGCCCTGAAGCTGCAGAGACAGTTCGACCGCGAGAACCAGAACCGTAGAAGGAGCCCCGACAAGTATTTCCTGCGGTCCTGGATGTCCACTCAGAGCCGCAGGAGGCGTGGCCTGAGGAGGTCCCGACGAATCAACAAGAAGCACTAGACAGACGGGAAGGATCTCATATATGCAAAGACACGAAAGGCGAAGGTTTAATGAATGTTTTCACTCGTCTGACAAACGGGTTTGTAACCTGGAGACGTTTCTTCCAAACACCAGCAGATCACCAAAAACTGAACCTTCAGCTGCAGGACGGCCCGACAGTCATCACCACAGGAAACGTCCTGGAAGTGTTTGAACTCGGAGGCTTAATCTGAGCTTTTTTACAGATCGCCGTTTCTCTGCAGCTGGAACAAAGAAAGCTTTCACAGGTTCAACCATAATCACGTGGCCCGGGGCAAAGCATGTTTATGTTGAGCTTCCAGTTATAGATCCAGGGTGGATGTGAGGCCCTGAGCTGAACATCGCATCCCGACACCGCTGAAGGTGACGGCGGTGTTTCATCTGTGTTTGTGCGCTGCGTTCCACAGCGGCCTGCGCATCATCTGAAAATGATGCACAGGTTCAGATGAAGGCAGGCTGCACGCCGCCGGGCCGAACACGACTGTCGGTTCAGTCCGCTCCACGGGATGATGATGATGATGATGATGTTTATTAATATAGTTCATTTAAATCTCACCGGCCTCACAGTGATCTCCGAGAGGCCGAGGAAATCTAAAAGGAGCTTTATGGAAAGAAATGAGATGAGTGTGAGTGTCGGCCTGAGCTGCTGTTGGACAGAAGTCTGTCTTTGTATTTGTGACAGTTTATGAAGCCCAGTTTGACTAAAATAGCTAAAAGTGAATTTTTATTGGCTCTAAAACTCCAAAAGTCCAAAATCATGATTCGTGTGTGTTTCGGTAGCTCAGAGTGTGACACGTGTCTCTTCGTTCATATCTGAACACATCACTTCCCACCTGACGCTCCCTCTGGGTGTGCAGGTAACCCTCCACCCCTGAAAGCGTGACATGTACCTGGTATCACCCTCTGAGGTTGGAAGTGGACAGAAACCTGCAGGAACCCGGAGCACCGACGGTCGCTGTGGCGCAGGTTTCTGTCGGGGGTCAGCAGCACGTCTTTGCCCCGGGCAGGTGGAAGTTACCCCTGGTTTATCCTCGTGAGAACTTTCCACAGGTTAATCAAAGTCCAGCCGACCTGCACGTGTTGGGAATGCAGGAGAAACCAGAACCCGCTCTGAATATAAGGAGGTGTTGAGTCAGACTTCTCCCAGCAGCCGAGGATCACGGGACATAAACTTCCTCTAGTATAGCTGCTGGTGTCATCCTGGTCTTCCAGTCTGAAAGTCGGAGCTGCCGAGGCTCGTGGGGACTGCGGTCTTTAGAACCCGATTGGTCAGGAAGGATTTCTACCTGAATTCGGATCAGGAGACTCACCTGGTCACTCTCAAGGAGCGAGGAGCCGTGTGATTGGACGAGCTTTATGGCCTGTGATGTCAGATGCTGGTGCATTCAGACCAAATGTGAATTTACTGTGGTCACAGAGCTCTGACTGTGGTACTTTTAAAATTATTGATTTATAAAAATCACGCTGGAGTCAGAACTTCACCTGTGGTCCACAGGAAGCAGGTGAGGCAGGTGTAGAGCCGACAGCCATTTAGCAGGTTAGAGCCCCGTCTCTATGTAGAGAAACTTCCACTATTGGGCCAAGCTGAACCAATCAGTGACAAAATCCAGCCTGACCCTTCACCCCTCACAGTCAGCTGTTTTCTGTCTGCGACGTAAACATATTTAATGCAGAAACTGCCTTCATGCTGCGAATACGGTCAGAGTTACAGCGTGAGGTGGTTTCCAAATCGGGATCTTTTTAATGGTTTTGATCGCTCCGTCAGTGCAGCAGAGGTCCACACGAAGCCTTCAGGCTGAAACCGTGTTTAAGCTGTCAGAAACTGCAGCTCGCTGCCACGCCCCTGCAGGAGCCTCAGCCTGAAGCGGAGGCTGAAGGTGGGCGTGCACGTGCTTGGTCTGAGCTCACCTTCACCCTCTGCTTCAGCTGCACGGCTTCTGTTTGCAGGTCGTCTGTAACGGTGATGCTGTAGCTCCTGCAGGCCGTCCAGATGTCTGGTTCCTCAACACACGTGTTTTTTCTCCATGCTAAGCTCCGTCAGTGGTTTGCCTGAGTGCAGCGCCACGCTGTGTTCACACTGCTCAGATCAGAGGCAGTCGCTGAGCGCTGGTAGGTCGCTGTTAGAAAAGCCGTACTCGCACTGAGCCTCAGTAATGTCATGATTCACTCTGGGGGTCGTATGTATGATAGACACTGAAGAAGATGTGAGGGCGGGACAAACTGAGGACACGTCCACAAACATGGAACGTGTTGGTGTAGTTACTCTGCAGTTCCTCTACCTGAACACCTGCAAAGAAACAACGAGGTTGGGTGGAGTTAGAACCAGACTGCAGCTCACAGGCTGGATGTAAAATAAAGGTGTAGCTCCTTAAACCTGCATTCTCTCTGATGTCCAGCAGGGGGTGGCAACTCAAAAATCTGAGACACTCATGCTCACCTGGTCTCTGTGCTCACTAACTCTTTCCTGATTGGCTGATCATGATTTTGGAGATGATGGTCCCGTCAGAGTCACAGGAAGCAGGTTAGGGTTTAGGGCGGGGCTACCTGTGATTGACTGGTCGTGTCTGCCAGCAGCACAAACCCAGGTCCAGTTCAGTGACTGGAGTTACCTGAGGTAAAAGGCCACGCCCCTAATAATTGTATTACTACCTTTAGCTTACAATATAAAGCGACTTGAGATGGCTGTTGTTGTGATTTGATGCTAAATAAATAAAAGTGAAGCGAATTCAAACCAGGTGAGCGTAAAATGCAGGTGTCATGAAGGGAAATGATCCACAGAGACCGACGGTGTATCAGGCTGCAGACGTGTTCATTTTATCACGGGAGTCTGCTGCCTCTGCTGGACGGTGGAGGAACTGCAGGCTTTGGAGGTTTAGCTGATTGGTTTAGATAATAACAACATTCCTGCTGTTTCCTTTTTTTTTCTTTTTTTTTTTACATTTCTGCGTCCTCAGTGATTCCTGGCCTTCATCATCATCATCATCATCAGCTGTTAAAGTTTAATTTGAAGTCTTGATGGAGCTGAAGGGCTTTTTTTTTTTTAAACTCCATTAAAGATGTGCACGTTTCTGTTTTGTATTCTTTGGTGGGTGCAGAGAGTTCAGGTGGGGGTGGGTGGACGGGGTCAGGGGTCACGCTGAGTGCCAAATGAGCAGAAGACGTTGATCCTTTGTAACGGACTAGTTTTGTATGAGCGGCTGCTGGAAGAAAAAGTAAAAGAGTTGAAACGCTGGCTCGTGTCCTGTCTTCTCTTCACTCAGTGATCTGAAGCCCAGGGCTCACCTGAGACGCTCACCTGAGCTTCCCGCAGATTGCCGATGATTGGTAAGAAGAAGCAGGAAGTGCAGCAGGACGTCCTTCATCAACTGCAAACAATATCGCCATCAAAAACTCAGCAGGTTGAAGGTGATGCTACAAACTCTGTTACTCCATGTTTCATTCCCCAAATCAAAATGAAGGATGCTGTAAAGCAGCTGCTGTGAAGTCTGATATCCACAGAGAGGTGTTTACTGAAATAGAAACCAGCAAAGCCTGTAACAATAGAACAAAAGTTGCAAAAGTTCTTCTTTTGTTTTCAAAATAAAGCCCTCCAGTTACTTATTGGATGTTGCCAACATGTGTTAATGAGCATTTTCAAAGATTAAAGCCCCAAGTTAATTCAAAAACATCCACCACGGTGCTCAGAAATGTTTCAGATCTTAACAATGACAATCCAGACAGCACAGTTCAACTCGACCAGCAAACGTGCTCATGCATATGTTAAAGTTTTCCAGCCGACAATAGATGATATGCAGGCGCAGACTTTTTGATGGGCGGAGCAATGTAATCATGCACGCACTGATTTGTGCCTTTAGAATTTATACGTTTTGTTTGGAGGGAATGTTTTACCTCCACTTCTCGTTTGTTTTGGTATTAATTAGGGCTGCCACGATTAGTCGACTAGTCACGATTACGTCGACTAATCGTCAACGACTGATTTAATAGTCGACGCGTGTTTGAAGCTTTGTAAGATCACAAAAGACGCAGGAATAAGTAGTAGGATTTAAGAGTGTAATAACGGACTGAAACAGAAGATGGCAGCACTGCATGTACAAGGATGCCAGCTGCCG